TGTGTGTGTGTGTGTGTGTGTGTGTGTGTGTGTGTGTGTGTGTGTGTGTGTGTGTGTGTGCGTGCGTCTGTGTTTGTGCGTGTGCGTTTGTATGTCTGGCACGAGCGCGCGATATTGACCTTGTCGTCAATGGATATCGTTTGTATATCTCACACTGCCACTAATAGTTAGGAGCGGGACAGCAGAACGAAACCCGCCACGTATGCGCCGGCGTCTTTTTAAAACGAATAGATTACCCCTCCCCTTCCCTCTCCTCCCCTCCCGTCCCCTCCCCTCCCCACCGCGGCTGGCCCCACATCACTCATCCCTCAAGAAAACAGAGACGCTGTTGACTCCCACAGTTATTACGATAAAACTGGGCCTGCCTTTCTCCCCGGCGGGGCACGTGATGGAGAGCAACCGAGAAGGAATTCAAATTACCACAAGCAAGTCAAATCACACAAGCATACCCATCCGCTAATTCGTCATTCTCTCTTTCCTCCTCCCGCCCCCTAGCCCTCCTCCTCCTCCTCCTCCGTCTCCCAAGACTCTGCCCGGTCTTGTTCACTCTCCATGTGCGACAAACCGGCCTTTCCCACTGTTCCTTCTTTCTATCCCCTCATTCTAAAACCTATCTCCCAATCGTCTTTCTTCCCTCCGCTTTTTCTTCCCTCCACTTCACTCGCCCAAAATCCTCTCTCTCTCTCTCTCTCTCTCTCTCTCTCTCCTTTCTTCTTCTGCAATCAAATCCTCCGGACATGGAAGCACCTGTTAATTGCACTGCGGTGACACCTGCCTTTGCTTTCATCCCCCTCCTCACCCTCCCCCTCCCAGTCACTTCAACTCTTTTTTCTTTTCCAACCCCGCCTATTCATGTAATGGCGACATACGAGCCAAAGCGCGCAATTGGCGCAATGTCGGGCAGGACGATCTGCTCCACTACTCACCCCAACCATGCGCAAATGGAAAACATTATGGCGGTGTATCTTTCCATCTCCTAGCGGAAGATTCATTCTCATTTTGCATACGGCGCGACGCCGAATGGCCCTACCACCACTCACTGTTAGCCAACATTTTGAATGCATCTCGACAACCAGTCTGCGCAGATTCGTTCAGAAACTTGGCGAATGACGAGCGGTGCAACTACCAGCGGGCCCAATACCTATCGACCGAACTGCCGCCGTATGGATTCGAACTGAGGAGCTGAGAGCGTCAGACGGCGACAGACACGCTCCCGCAATACCCCCAAAAGCAGGTGGGTGTAACACGAGGGGTCCCCCCAAAAGCAGGTGGGTGTGACACGAGGGGTCCTCAGGGATTCTCAAGAAAGCAGTTTCCCCAACCTACCCGGTAGGGCCTCAGGCTGCACTACTCTCGTCATGCACAAAAGACAAAAATCATGGCCGTGTATCTCCGTATTCTAGCGGAAGATTCACTCTCGTTTTCCACAGTTCGAGAGTATTGCAGCGAGGCCCTATATGGTCCAATATAAGGCCAGGTTCACCATCCCGTGAAACAGTTTCTTGTCTGAATCGGATGACATGCCAGAGTGTTTGGCGGGGTTGTACAGCAGGCCTGCGGGCCGAGCCCCACTGTCCACTTTAACCCCGGATAATGGGCCTCGAGCCACTACTCTTTTTTATTTATTTTTTTGGGGGGACGAGCCACTACTTCTTTTCTTTCCTTTTTTTTTTCTTTTTTTTTGTTAAAGCAAGGTTCAAGACCCTTCCCATTATAGACACAGAAACGAGGCCGGGGACCTCACAATTCCACCCGGAGTTATCCTGGCAGCATCAGCCAGTTTAGCTTACGAGCCGAGGCTCGCCGATGGAGTTTGGCTAATCTAGGCACAGAAATGACCAAAACCAGGCCGCTGTCCTGAAACCACTCCAGCAACAAGAACTGCTACAAGCCTTAAAAGCCGAACAAACCAAAAGTCACCAACAAAACCTACTAGATTGAACTACTAACACTCCAACAGACTGTCCAGAAAGGGGAAGAATAGACTACTACAAGCTGAAACAACTGTTTCAAGTGATATCCTATACCACACAGCCACCTAACTAAAGTTCTCTGTCTAATGCGACAGATGGACCCCGGAGGGACCAACCCCTGCGGAAAACAACCGAGCACCCAGGTTCCTATTGTAGCCTAACCAGACCAGAACCATTCGTCGAACACGAGTTTGCCTTCTTCCAGTCTAACCAGCTTCCCACCCAAGCCCCAAGTTTCACCAAACCATCTTCCCGAAGATCTCTTACCTTTCCTTAACCAATCCGCCTGAATGGTACGTCGCAGAGAGGATTTAAACCCAATTCTGATTTCTTTATTGGTTAGCTCTCTGTTCTCGAAGATTCGCAGGTTGCGTTGCTTCCAAATAACTTCACATCCCATGGCCCTGGCGGCCTGAGCGACGTATCCCCATCCTTTGTATAGGTCCATATTGTCTGGAATCCCTCCCAATAAAACCCACAGCCTATCCCACGGCATACAATTTCCAGAGATGGATGTCCAAAATTTTTGCCACCAATCCCAGATGTTTTTCGAGGCGGGACAATCATACCAAAGGTGTGTGGTAGATCACTCACATCTTTTGCATGTTAGATCCACCTGCATACCTTGTTGTAACAGGGTAACCGCCGAAGGGGTCGCAAACAAGGAGAGCAACCATGGATTGACTGCAGCACGCAGATTCGGGGCCTGCAGAACAAACAAAAGAGGGGCCAGGGGGCAACCCTGACGTAATGATCTAGTTAAGGCAAAGGATTCCGAAATATTGCCATTAACCATCACCGCCGCAGTTGACTTCGAATACAGTGCAGTCACCCACTTGCACAGGTTTTCTCCAAAGCCCGAGTGTTTAAGTGTAGACAGAACATAAGTCCAGTTTACACGATCATAGGTTTTTTCAAGATCCAACATAAGTATCATGGTATCTGCAGCTGTGCGCTCTACTTCTAGGGATTCAATAGCCGTTACTATATTATCAAATATAGAACGGCCTTGTACAAAGGCCGCTTGGTCTTTGTTCACCAAATCAGGTAAATAACGGTCTAGCCTCCTTGCCAACACTTTGGCCAGGAGTTTATATGAAACGTTCAAAACGAAAATTGGTCTCTGATTTCTTACTTCCGACCGATCACAGTTTTTATACAACAGGGATATTATCCCATTTCTCATTCCTTTCGACAGGTGATTACCTGTTACGACCTGATTATAAATATCGATGAGTTCTTCTTTAATTATATCCCAAATCAAGAAGTAGAGCTCCACGAGGAGGCCGTCGTCGCCTGGAGTTTTCCCTTTAGCCATAGAGCCAAGGACTTCCCAGGCTTCTTCCACAGTTATCGGGCGGTCCAAATCCAACCTGCCTTGTGCGGAGATTCTAGCAGTAAATGAGGACCAATGGTAAGAGTCAACAGTAAGGTCCGTATTAATATCCTCATACGGCCTTCTAGTCGTGAGAATATCCTGGTAATACATAGCTGCATAGGTACACAACTCAGTCTGATCGCATGCTACTGGGAGTTCCCTGTCAAACGGGTGCATCAGTTGGCTCATAGGGTGTGATAGGCGTTTAGGGAGCAGTTTTTGGAAAGACTCACTAGACATCGGATCATAAACCTCTATCCCCTTAACCTTCAGACGTTCTACCCATAGTTCAGACTGTTCCTACTGATAGGAGTCTCACTCAGCCATCCATTTTTCCCTCACCGGACTCCAGACTAGGTTTGAGATAGGGTGGAGGTTCATTCTCATTTCCGCATACTCGATCTTTTTAATCATATTTCGTTCCTGGTTCTTCCGCCCAGCTGCCAAGATTCGTGAAAAAAGATTCAGATGGCTCGAAAAAATGCGGGAACTAGCATCCCACCAGTCTGCCTTTGAGGTGAAAGAATCTACGTTTTTCTTCCAATCGCTCCAAAATTTTTCCATCCAATCGACTACCCCAGGATCTTTAAGAATCTGCGTATTGACCCTAAAGTAACCCCGACCCCTCTCCGGTTTCAAAGAGTTAAAACTCGCCCAAACAGGTTTATGATCCGAAAGTGTCTGAGGGTGTTCTTCGATGTCTATTGTGGCGTGCCATACAGCAGGGGAGAGAAGAAAAAAATCCAACCTCCTACATATCGTGCCTACCCCCTCCCACTCATTAGAAAAACAGGTATAGCCAGATGCTTCCGGGTGAAGAAGGCTATAAGGATCTATCACATCCAATTTCGACATTACATCTAGTAGTGCCTTTACATCTGAACTGCCCCGAATTGACTCCTCCCTGTCTAACGAAGTGTTCCAATCTCCAACAAGAACTGCTCACAATCTGGGATAACTAACGGGAGGTTTTCAAAAAATATTCTTCGCTCTCGTGCATCCGTTGGAGCGTAGACATTTGCAATCACCCACTCATGACCTTCTATCTCAAGTTTGATCCAGGACCATCTTTCCCACAGATCCGCAAAGAAGTCAATTATTTCTGCTTGAAGGTTCCGATGTACTAAGATTGCGACTCCCCCTCGTGAGCCCCTGGCCGGGGACCAGATCTGTGGGCCATCCCACCATGCACCCAAGGCTTCTATCTTAACCTATGACAACTTACTTTCCTGAAGGCACATGATATCGATCTTCATCTCATGAATCCAACTCTTAAGCCTCCCTTTCTTATTCCTACCCGAAGAATCCCCCAACCCGCGAATATTCCATGAGACTACATTAAGTCTGCCCATTACGGGCAGAGGCTCCAACCAATTGGATCTGGGAGGAGGAAGCGGTAGGGGCAGCCATCTCTTGAGACCAAGTTGTCACCAAAGCTTGTTTGAAGAACTGCGAGTTCAGTTTTTTGTCTTTCCCCAATTTCGCATTTAACTCAAACAAGAATTCAACAGAGAGCTCCGGGGACACTTTGATCCTACGGAGGTTAGACTTGCTACCCTCTACAAACCAAGGTAGCGGGAGTAAGCGGAGACCTTCGGACTCCAATTGTTCTAGCTGACCTGGTTCAAAGCGAGCATCGAAAAGAGGAGAATAGTATTTCACCCTTCTGCCTGACACATCTACCAAGAAGCGAGGCATAGAGATCTCGGCAATAATACGGATCGTTAACTTATTCTGAAATAAATTCCTTGCAAGGGATTCGGAGGGGGCCGGCATCGGAGACTCAGGGCAATTCATACTAAATAAGAGCGGGATACCATCAATTCCCAGCCATGATACAATCGAGATCGAATCACGGACAAAGGAGCAGACCATCGGAAGAAGCTTGGTTTCCATAACCGTTTGTCCTTTAGACAAGGCATACATCCGGGCGCGCGTGGATTTGCGCTTACCTGCCATCGACGAGGGAGTGCCCGAATTGAGTGAAGCTTCGTTTGAGCTGCCCGAGGCTTCCGCATGGACTTCGTCGACCCGAATCTCAATACCCCCCCTTTCCGAGATGCGCCTTTGTTTCCCTGGAGATTCTCCACGAGATCGATTTCCACTCGGCACATTCCCCAGTCCTCCCCCAGAGTGTGGAGGGGGGGCGTATTGAGTTACCATACCCATATTAGCTGGTTGTTGCCCAGGAATAGCTCCGGTCCAGCCTTGACTCCAATGAGCAAACGCATGAAGATTCGTGAAAGACGAGCTAGCACCCAGTTGTGCTCCCATCTGTTGACCCATCGCTTGTTGCAGAGAAAACGGATGGGGAGGAAGCCCCTGTAAAAAGGACACCCATCCGGGATTTGTCATGGATGGATTACTTGCACCAGCTTGGGACGTCTGGAGATTGCCGACAGCTTGTTGCAGCGCTATTCCGCCTGGTGAAAAAGTTGGGTTGCTTCGTACATTGACCCCAGCCGGGGCACTCGAACCTGCCGGAGCCGCTGACGAGGCAGCCATTGCTTGTGGCTGTTGTTGAAGGCCACCACCTGGAGCATGTAGAGTGCCCTGATACGACTGTCTTACACCTCCAGCTCTGGAGTTGAAAGCAGGCCGATGGTTATCAGAGGAGCCACCTCGAGTACGGCGACTTGGTCTTCTGCAAGTATCCTCTGTGTGAAAGAAGTTACGACATCTTCCGCACCACTCAGTGTCTGCATCTGCCAGCCTCACCTCCAGCAGGTCCCCTTGGTGGGTTTGAATCCAAATCTTGTCTTTCATACAATCTCTCTTGGAGGGATCGATGTCGAACCGTAAGTTCACCAGTTTAGGATCCGAATCGTCCGCTTCGGGGAGGTGGCGCTTTAAGATTTTGCCGATTGCGTTTTCCACATGTACGTGGAGAAACACCATCTCATCCAGAGGAACTCCGACAGCCACCACCCAAAACGTATCTTGATCCACCAACTTCCTCCAGTCCTTAAGCTCTGCACGAGTTATCCACGGTTTAAATTCCGTACGGTAAATAACTCTCGCCAGCTCTATGAAGTCCGATCTCTTAGTGAGCATCCAATTTGTGATCTCTTGAGTTCTTGGGATGTACGAAACCACATTAGGACTCTCCACCTTTATTCTACCCCGCTTGAAGTCTTGTCCAAAAAACTCATCACTAATCCAACCATCTTCGTAAGCTCGGATAGCATCTTCTTTTACCTTCCTTGGCAAAAACCTCGCTCCTTCTTGAAAGATGATGGTGACGGTTCTTGCCTTAAGCCACTTTACCTTCACTTCGTCCACCGAAGTGTTCAGGGTGAATTTCACCTCCCTTCCGTTGACTTCCGTGACACCTGGATCGATATCCGTTGGCATAATACCGTCCTCATAACAGGCTCTGACCATTTCCAAAATTCGCTCCTCCTCCATACGATAGTCTCCCGGTACCTGGCTCCTTGCTTCCTGCTCCGTACCCCCCTGCGGGGGGGTTCCATGTCCATCTTGATCAACCAACGACTGTGCTTCTAGAGAGGTTATTTCCTTGAAACAGAGTGAAGGGGGTTGCCTGGATACACGCAAGAAATATACGTGTTTGAGGGAACGTATTGCCGAGGTGACACACGTCCGAGCGGGACGGAGGAAATTCTAGTTGCTGACGTCACCAGCTATGGCCTCCGCCATAGTCCCTTGACAAGGCAAGGGTATTGGGGCGTCACCCACGACACTCCTACCACGTCGGAAATCGCGCCGTCAACCAGGCCTGCCGAAACAGGCTGCGCTACGGCCGAGCGCAATAGCGCCAGCGGTACCGCCGATCCTCCCCCCCGCCAATCTTCCAACATCTCGACGAGCCACTACTCTCCACATTCAAGACAGACAAAAAAAAAAAAAAAAAAAAAAGACGGGGAAGATGGGAGCGCTGGTACCGGGCGGAGTAGCGTAGCGCTTCGTTACCGGCGTCGCTACGGGCCTAGCAAGTAGCGCTGTTCGTCCGCCAAACCCGCCGCCATGACGGGAAGCAGAAGGTAGACTTGCACGCTCCACCACGAGGGCGGAGGCCTGACCTCAGCGCACAGTCTACTCGAACAGTCCGTCCATCCCCGGTACCGTAGGGTCTGGGAGGAGACACTGAACAGGAGATAGGCCAGGAATGGAAGAGGAGCATAGGAACAAGACCCCGTCCATGGCACTAGCTCGATTACCGAGGTAAGGTAAACAACTGAGTTTCTGCTAACCTAAACGATAGGGGAGAGAGGTGAATCCGGATTTAGTGGTGAGAGGCCTTCGGCTAGGGAGGAAGAAGGATGAAGGGAGGTGTCCGTTTCGATGTTAGAACGACTAGTAAGTAACACATAGTTTTTGAGAAAGAGATGGTGAATTGGTAGGAGAAATTACCTTGGTAACAGACGCGATGGTAAATTCAACGTGCAGGGAATTTCTCACCAGGGATTTCTTTCACCATGGTAACTGTAAAAAAGAATCGAGCATTTCAAGATGGAGGGATGAGTAGAACAAGACGAGTTAGTATCAATCGATTCTCTAGAGATCCCAGTTTCCCGAAGGTAATTCGAGTCACCTTAGTACAGGTAAAAAGCTCGATCAAAGAGGGACGCAAGGAGTCGACACAGTCCTAAAGCAGGTAGACAAGTGCCGATTATTATCTTGTCACCGGAGGAGGGAAGGAATCTACCACCGCGCAGGGAATTTTTCACCGGGGATTACATTCACCGTGGTAACTATAAAGAGAGAATCGAGAGTTCCCAGAAAGAGGGACGAGTAAAGCAAGAAGAGGTAGTATTAATCGGTGCTCTAGAGATCCCAGTTCCCCGAAGGCAATGCGAATTACCTTAGTACAGGGAAAAAGCTCGATCAAAGAGGGACGAAAGGAGTCGGCACAATCATAAAGCATGTAGACAAGTGCCGATTACTATCTTTTCACCGGAGGAGGGAAGGAAAAAGCGCATTTGGTGGAGGTAGATACCGCGTTTGAGAAAGTAGAAGAAAGGCCAAGAGCTCCGGGGGTCTCCCACCATCAGAAAGTGAAGTACCAAGAGGGAAGCACACCGAGTACCTACGTGACAGGAATACGGAGGAGCACAAGTATAGCGCTGCAACGAAAGTCCAGGCGTGATTGAATCCTTGTAACACAGGGTCGTGCGAAAGGAACAAAAAGGGAAGTCTGGAAGCAAAACAGGTGCAGAAGAGAGGTTAAGATAAGAGGTTCGGCAGATGGAGGGACAGTAAAGAAAACCGGGGTTGAGGAAGGGACCAGAAACTGGGAAGGCTACGGAGATGAGGTTTACAGGGAGTAGGTTAGGTAGTGTTAGAAGGAAACTCAAAAGGGCAAAGTCCTTGAGTCGAGCCTGGAGAAAGGAAACGGGAGATACTATGTGAATCGAGGATCAGAGAGGCTAGAACAAGGAAAGGAAGAGATTCAATTGGATACAAGAAGCGTGTGCAATCAAGGTCGACACATTGCACCAAGATGGCAAAGTCCTGAGTACGACAAGGGAGAAACATCATGGATCGGACCAGGCACACCAGGATCCCAAAGGTGAGGAGGTTCGAGGAGAAGAAGCAAGAGTGCAAGAGTCAGTAGGGCGTTGTTATGATGAGGGAACGTGTCCAGATGACTTGGACATAGGGGAGGTGATCGAAGATGAAGAAGGGAGAAAATTCGTGGTAAACGAGGCAGTGGACGAAATCAAGGAGCAATGACTCAAAGAGAGAACTGTCATTCTAGTGTTTCAAGGGGAAGCGGGACAATTGTCCAGATCAGTGAAGGAAGATCTGGTGCGTGCGTACGAAGATGGCTAGGCAGCAGCTAAAATTTTTCAACCAGAGACAGGCAGAGGGAGAATAAAATCCGAAGGTCCGAGCGTCGTGTCATATGTAGCGAAGTCTAAGGTAGTAGCAGACTGGATGTTGGGAAAAAGGGAGGCGAAGCTCAAGCTGGCAGACAAAGAGTACGTAGCCAGTATGAAGCCATGGCTGACAAAGAAGGAACTCAAGATGCTTAGATTACAGGAAGCAAAAACAAATTTTTGGATCTTAGCGCTGAGAGTCCCGCTGGATGCATACTATTACTTGAAGAGTGCGGTCAGGAGTATGTTCGGAGAGATCGTCCACATACATCCGCCCCAGTATGACTCAGCAAGGCCAAAGCTAATGAATGTAAGAGTAGATATGCCTTCGGAATCGAGAGACAAAATCGATGATGAGCTGATAATCCGATCTCACAGGGGAGAGCGATGGAAAGTGGAAGTGGTTACCCCCTACACCGACAGGTGCAGCAGGTGTAAGTGGTATTACCACACTGAAGAAAATTGCCCAAGGATACGACAGGAGGAACGGAGAGGTGGACAGGGAGGTGTAAGGGTTGGTGGTCACAAGGAAAGATATAGACAATTCATGCAGAGGCAGGGTGGGGAGAATAGAGAAGGAGAGGGAAGACAGGGGGACATACCACACACAAGCCAAGCACAAGAAAGTGGAGGTAGGTCGTGAACCAGAAGAGACCTGGAGAGACAGGAGGCTAATAGGCAGCGAGAGCTGCAACAGCGTGGTAACGGCAGATGGGGCGAAGGCGATCACCCTTCGACAAGTCACCAGATCCATAGCAATAGGGGCAGGGGACCTTAGCTGCAGTCAAGAGCGAACAGCCCATTGAGAAGATCCTTCCTCCCAGATACAATTATGGAAAAAGAACCCAGAGGTATGGCACCCCACCTAGATCCTAGGAACAGAGCTCTAGGTTATGGGTACCCCCCCCAAATGCAAGAATGGAGTCCCTTCAATGGATTCACGAACAACAGCCTTCAGCCCCGAGTTAATCCAAAATTTCAAGGCACGTACGAGACAAGAAGGCAGGACTAAGGACACACACATACGGAGGACCCAAATGCTCACTACGGAAACCAGTCGGAACAAGTCCAACATCTTCAGCACCTGCAGCAGTTAGATCTCCACCAAATGTGGCAGCCTCATAACCATATGTCAGAGAATCCCCACGGAAGAAACAACGGGGGAGCTCAATTCGGAGTACAAAGACCGCACCCAAATCTCCCACATTCGCAGTACTCAGAAGAAGGGTACGACTGGGGGACATGGGCAACACCTCAATCAACCGGCCCAGGTCCTGCCCCAACCATAAGAAGAGATAGAACTGGTCAAGAAATGCTTCCTTGGAGATCAAGAAGGGGAACAACATGGATATCGTGGGCGGACGAAGTTCAACAAGAGGAAGGGGGTGGGAGAAGAGATCTAGATTACGGAAATGGTAGGGAGGTACTAGGAAGAGAGGAAAGAGAAGGCAGGCAAAGGCAACCAGGGGGCAGAAGAAAGGAAGAAGAGGTGAAGAGAGACCTGTCCAGATCACAGGTGTCATCGCTATCGAGGGTGAGAATGGGAAGTGGAAGCCAGGCAGACGAGGAGAGTGTGGGACAACCGGAAGAGGTAAGGTCGGAGTCAATGGAAAGTGTCACTAGCAGAGGGGAAGGCGCAGTAGCGAGGAGTGGTCCAGGGGGGAGACATAAAGCAGAAGTGATCCCAAGAAGCCAGGTAGAGGCGGTATCAGACTTGTAGTGCCTATAATGTGCACAATGTCTCCAAAAGGCACCTACTTTCTGGCTTCCGCTCATGCATCTGGTCAGACAGTAATCCCGTCAGCCGAAGTTGAGAAGGCCCCGACCACAGCGGTAATCATGCAAACGACCAGAGAACTTTATGGGGAACATGTCCCGGAGCGGATTGTCCCTCACTCGGCTATGGTCAGCATGATATGCGAGACGTCTAAAGGGTACTACAAATTCTACTTCCCGCTGATGGATGCGCGCATCCAACCAGAAATCGCAGATACCTTGACGTTAGCAGGCATGCGCTGGTTCCACATGGACACGATCAACGATCAAAGATCTCAAGAACTGGAAGGGATACATGTGGCCCCGGGAGTCGGCGCTCTCATCCTACTGAATCTGAACGAGAAGCTACTACCTGAAGAAAACCTGCACTCAAAGTTTCTAGCAAACAGACTGGTGAAGGACTGGGGCTTAGTTTCACAGTCGAACTCATCCAGGGGCAGCTCCGGTAGTCGCTCAAGAAGCAGATCCAGAACACGGCAACAGGAGGAGGTGGTCTCCCGTCACCAGTCGAGAAACAGTAGAGATCATGCAAGTCCCCCGCATCCAAAACCAAGCGGAAGAAGAGGCGGTGATCAATGGATAGACTCATAGCAGCATCATGGAATGTAAGGGGCCTAGGGGACACAAATGGAAGATCGAAAAAGAGGAGGATTAAAAGTTGGGTGCACGAATGGAAGATAAACTGCTTGTTAATTCAGGAAACAAAACTCAGCGAAGACAAAGTGGGAGAAATGGGATCGTGGTGGGACAGACCACAAATATGGTCACCAACTCAGGGAATGAGAGGAGGGGTAGGCATCCTACTACACAGGGACCTACAGGCGAAAGTGCTGGAAGTTGAGGCGGACTTATGGGGAAGGTGGACATGGCTTCGAATTGAGCTGGGAAGGGAGGAGTGGTTAATCATGACTGTTTATGCACCAACAGACCTGGGGCAGAGGGCGAGGTTTCTGGCAAAACTGACTTCGTGTATCCCAAAAGTAGACAGACTTCTCATCGTTGGTGATTGGAATCTGTCGTTGGACGAAGCTCTCAAATCAGGCTGTCGGTATGCAGACAGGAAAGACGTCCGAACGCTCCTCGAAATTTGCTCAGAGTTATCCTTAACCGATCCGTACAGACTG